CTAGGCATGTGGGCTGAACGTCTGCAGGAGTGTCTAAGAGGTCTAAAAGCGTACCTAGACCGTCCGTTTGGGTGTCTGGACCAAAGCTTTCTCCCAATCCACCTGCAGAGGGAGACAGTCTGAGTCCATACTGAGAAACAGGGTTCAATGAGGACAACTGAGCAGAATGAAGGAGCGCTCACCCATTAAGCCAACAAGAAAGTCGTGGCTTGACTGGTCTATTACGCCTGCAAATGAAAATTCGAATAAAAATGAGTTCCTACTGTATGCAGATGAAGTGAAATGTATATGCTACATTACGTTTTACATGTCACATGCATAAAGGGAGTTTCTGATGTTACACTAGTGTTATACTGTTCAAAGGTTTGGGGTGGGTAAGAATATTTAATAGGCATTTATTGATCAAAAATATATTTAGGACAGGGCTATTCATCATTTAGGGCAGGAATATTCATCATTTAGGGCGGGGCTATCAGTCATTTATGCTGCGCTATCCCTCATTTAGGGTGGAACCATCAACAATTTAAGGCGGGGCTAACAAATATTTAGACATTTGAGATGCGAAAAGCGCACAGAGCGCCCTCTCGTGGATTCGCAAAAACAAAAACTCCGTACGTATTTCGTGGTCTCCAGAAATGTCTATGAGACTATGTTTTCAGAATGAGCCTGGGTTGAATATTTATTCTTCTTCTTATTATTATTATTATATTAACGCTAAAAATAATTGCTTAGTAGCCGTGCTGCTTATTTGTTTATATATGGACATCACTATAAATTCTATTTATTAAATAAATATTAAATAATATCTATTTATTTAAAACACAAATCTAACATACTAAACAGTCACTTCTGATCATTTGAATGCATCATTTCAAAATAAAAGTACCAGTTGCTCATAGTAAACACTTTTGAGCAGTAGTTTAGATCAGTGTTTTTGCAATAACTTTTCTTTTGTGAAGAGATTACCTGTAATTGCCAGATGGGGGCTTGCGCCAAATGAATCAAAACCACCTGAAATGCGCATAAAACAAACAACACAGTCACAAAACAAATGTCTACTTTATTCTTCCATTTCCAGGTCATGAATCTTGTTTTCATACCTGTGCCTTGTATCTGAGATGTACCTGCCATGAAATGATCTAGTCCTGCATGATTAAAACACAGTGTCTGTATGATTATTGACATATTTATTTGAAGCCGTTTTCATATATGTATGTATATTTTCCTCACCCGTGAATCCTGTTTCCCCTCCATTCAGTAGCTGTTTATGTCCATTACCTAAAATATAAATATAAAATATGAATACGTCTTAACTCGATTTGTGCTATTATGACTTTTAGTGGGATGAAGGTAGTCAAAAATCTCTGATAACACATTCGATTTTTGATCAGAGTATTGTGTTAATCGTATTAAAATCAGAGAATTGGTGTCCATGCAAACGTAATCTCTCATTCTGCATACTGTAGAATGACAGTGTGTGTGTGTGTGTGTGCATTAAAACAGCATAATACTCACCGTTAGATTCTGTCTCAGGGATTTCTGAATTCACAAGACACAAATAACACAGTGGTGAAATCAATTCTTGTTTTTAACTGAACACATTTCCATAAATGATGTGTATCATCACCTGGAGGCTCGATCTGAGATCCATCTTGAGATGTTTCTCCTGATGGACGAACACAAGATCTGTTTTAATATTTCATACAGCATTTAAAGTAAGAACTAACCCTGTTATTCACATACCATTTTCATATTGTGGAGAGAATCCATCCGACCCTGAACAAATACATGCATGGATATTATTATACCTTTTACACTGAAATACTCATGTCGTTGTGAAGCACCTGAAGCACCTGTAGGCTGGACCTCGGATGAAACGACACCTGCAGCGTCTGATGTCTGTCCTGCTGAAGGCCTGCCAGACGACTGGCTTGATGACATCACTGACCCATGACCTGCTGATATGTGGCCTGATGACCCTTGACCTGATGACACTGACAGATTGACATTATGAAGTCCATAAAAGACAAACCGCCACCAACATTCAGCCTTTAGCTTACGCAAAACACACTAATTACAATATCAATCATAATCCTTCTTAACGTAAATAATGCATTTCATCCTAATTTTATCCAGTAATACACAGTTGAAACCAGAAGTTTCCATACACTCTAAAAAAAGGAACATAACTATTTAAAAACAAAAATGTCTGATGGTAAATGATACTAAACGTTTACTATTTTAGGTCCGTTAGGATTACCTAAATCATTTACGTTTGCTAAATGCCAGAATATTGAATAATTATTATTTATTAATTTCTAGACAGTAAAAAGTTTACACACATTTCCTTGGTATTATTTTAGCTTTGCTTTTAAACTGTATAACTTTAGTCAAATGTTTTGGGTATCCTTCCACAGGCTTCTCACAATAGTTTGCAGGAATTTTGGCCCATTCCTCCTGACAGAATTGGTGTAACTGAATCAGATTTGTTGGCTGTCTTGCTTGAACAAGCTTTTTCAACTCTGCCCACACATTTTCTATAGGATTGACATCAGGGCTTTGTGATGGCCACTCCAAAACATCCACTCTGTTGTCCTTAAAGTGCATTTGAACTAATTTGGCAGTATGCTTAGGGTCATGGTCTGTTTGAAAGACCCATTTGTGGCCAAGTTTGAATTTCCTGGCTGATGTGTTGAGATGTTGCTTCAGTATTTCTACATGCTGTTCTTTCTTCATGATGCCATCTATGCTGTGAAGTGGACCAGTCCCTCCTGCAGCAAAACAGTCCCACAACATGATGCTGCCGGCCCCATACTTCACAGTTGGGATGGTGTTCCTAGGCTTGTAAGCTTTCCCCTTTGTCCTCCAAATGTAACACTGCTCATTATGGCCAAACAGTTCAATCTTAGCTTCATCAGAGCACAGGACATGTCTCCAGAAATGAGTCTTTTTCCCAGTGTAATTCAGCAAACTGTAATCTGGCTTTGTTGTTGATTCTGGCTTGTTGATTTTCCCATGTTGTCACACAAGGAAGCAGTGTGTGTTTGAGGTTTTCCTTCAATCCTATTCTACAGTTGTGCCTCCAATGAACTCAAATTTTGCCAATTAGCCAATAAGAAGCTTCCAAAACATTGACATCATCATCTGAGCTTTTTCAGAGGCTAAATAATCTTACTGTATGTAAACTTGACTTTCAAGAAAGGTTTTACCAATTTCTCCAAAAATATCTCTCTCATTATTCTGCTATTAAACAGATCAGAAATGTGATAATCCTAACTTGCCTAAAAGAGAAAAAGTTTAGTCACATTAACATCTGACTTTTCTTAATGGTTATGTGCCTACAGTGTATGTAAACTTCTGGTTTTAACTGTAGATCCTTCACTACATCTGTCATTAATTATATATATTATCTAAATATGTAAAAATGAACACAACCTATCATTCAACACATCATTCAGTGTTTACTAGTGCATGGTATATAAAGTGTTCAATTACTAAATGGGCTTTTAATTATATGCGCATAATATGTAAATACGTGAAAGATAACATAAACAGAAGTCTCTCTTACCAATAGAAATGGACACTGAATGGACGCCCCCTTCTGTGCCTGAAACACATTTGGTTTATTGGGTTCTGCATGTTTATTAAGGTTGTTCAGATGTCATATTTCAGATATTTTACACTCTACTGGGTTTTTAAGTGTCATTACCTGGGACTTTAGATCCTGAACCTCCATTAGCACCCGCACCTCCAGTTCCTACGCCTGGAAAAAATGAAAAGTCAGTCAGGTTATACATTAATATTCTAAACATCAAGGAAGGATACATTTATTTGATCTGAAGGGACTGATTATATGTATATTTTTACACTGTATTTTCTGTTTAAAATGAATCATATTCTTTAGAATTTTCATCAATCATTATTTCATTTTTATTATTGATGATAAAAAAGGTTTCTAGGGCAATTCTTTCTTTTTTTTTAAAGACTGAATCACGCTTTACAAACATTCAGCTTTGACTAACAGGAATAAATGACATTTTAATAATAGAAAAAAAATTAAATAGAATATTTAGATAGATTTCTGAAGCTGTTAATAAACATTAATACACATTAATAAATCTACCAACCTTTACCAAAACATCTGAACAGTGTGTATAAATTATATTAATTTAATTCATTAATAATTAATTAAAATAATTAATTTAATATATTATTTAAAATGTAATACTATTATTTAATATAATGCAGTATTAATCATTCTAAATGTGTGTCAGTGGTGTTTATTGCTAATATTCTTGCCGTGAAGGTATAATTTTCACTTGTTATTGCTTTCATTCATTCATTCATTCATTTATACATATGTTTATTCATTCATTTACTGATTGATTCATTCATTTATTTGTTCATTTATTCGTTTTTTCATTAACTTGTTCATTTTTCATTGACTGACTAATTCATTAATTTATTCACCCGCTCATTTGTTCACTCACTCACTCAATCACTCATTCATTAGTTTGCTTATTCAATCATTCATTGATTCATTCATTAACTGTTTTATTCACTCACTCAATCACTCATTTGTTCGTTCATTTATTCATTCATTTAATTGTTCATTGATTCATTCATTTACTCACTCACTCATTGGTTCATTCACTCACTCTTATACATTTTGTTAGTTCATGCAGTTCTTCATTAATACATTTGTTCATTTGTTAAGCCATTGATTGTTTGATTGATTGATTTACTTATTAATTCGTTTGTGACTTCATTTATTCATCCGTTCATTAATTTGTTTATTCATTTGATTCATTCACTTGTTTCATTATTCACTCATTAATTCATTTGTCTGTTCATTCATTCATTAATATCTTTGTATATTCATTCATTCATAGATTAATTGATTCATTCCTTCACCCATTTGTTTATTTACTCATTCGTTCATTCAATCATTTGTTAGTTCATTCATTTGTTTATTAACTCATTAATACATTCATTAATTTCTTTATGCATTCGTTTATTAATTGATTCGTTCATTACCTTACTCACTCATTCATTCATTTGTTTGTTTGACTCATTAATACATTTGTTTATTTCTTTATGCATTCGTTCATTAATTGATTCATTCATTAACTTACTCACTCATTCATTCATTTGTTAGTTCATTCATTTGTTTGTTTGACTCATTAATACATTTGTTCATTTCTTCATTAATTCGTTCATTGATTGACTGATTCATTCATTCACTCACTCCATCATTCATTTGTTAGTTCATTCATTCATATACACATTTGTTTATTCATTTATTGATTGATTATTATTAATTAATTCACTCACTCATTCATTCATTTGTTTATTAATTTATTGATTGATTCATTCACTTACTCATTGGTTTGTTCATTCACTCACTCATTCATTCATTTATTAGTTCATTGATTGATTCATTCATTCACTCTCTCACTCACTTGTTACTTTACTCACTTATTCATTCATTCATTTGTTCATTGATTCATTCACTCATTCATCATGTACCTGGAGGGGCTATCTCAGATTTGGACCCATCTTGTCCATCGTAACTTGCGTCTGTAAGTGAAATAAATACAGCCATTAGGCACGAAAATGTGTTAGAGAGAAAAAGAAAGTCCTGTTTTTCACAGGTGAATTCAGTACCTTGAGAACTTGAGCCAGATGAATGTGAATACCCGTCTCTACCGTTACCTCCTGTAAAAAACAAAAACACTTGAGCACTACTGAGGGCCCTTTCTTTCTACAGTAATAAAACCCAGACACCTGTCTCAACACTAACAGTAATCCAATATCACAACCACGGCTTAATTACACAACAAAACCTTATTCGCTGCCCACATTATAAGTATGTTCTGAATTAAATACTAGCTTTTATTTATTGTGCATTGCCAATATTAGAAATAGGCCCAGATTTATTGTAATATTTACACATTTGTGTAGCATATTTCATTTTGAAAACTATTGTTAAGGGAAAATGTTGCAGAACTAGATCCTGGTTTCAAATAATTGTTTAATTTTCAGCCAATGGTCATATGTGATATTATTTAAAGGGGTAGTTCATTTATTCACATTACAATAATGGGGTTTAATGAAGCAAAACATTAAAAAGAACATTATTTATAGCATTACTGTATATTGTTTCTCTTCATAAGAGCTCACTGTGTCATCTGGAGTCATGAGTATTGCATTTATTTTGCCTGTATGTGTTCTTTTACTCTTAGCACGTCAGTAGCCATTGACTTGTCTCATTCTCACTAAGGATTTAGATCCTTAAAATCCTAAAATAAAATCCTAAAATAAAATCATATTTAATTCTCTACTAAAGAAGAAAAGTCAATTACATCTTGAATGGCCAGGGAGTGTGTGAATTAATATTACATTTTCAGTTTTGGGTGAGCTGCATATTTAATCCTGATTTCAAGATCGAAATGATGGCAAACAGTAGACAAAATTGCAGATTTTGTCAAATAAATAAATAAAAAATAAAAAATAAAAATAAAATAAATAAAAAAGAAATAATAATAGTAATAATAGTAGTAGTAATAATAATAATAATAATAATAATAATAAATGAGTAAATTAAACAAGATTAGAAAACACTAGTATTTATGTTTATGGAAGTATTTTACCATAACTTTTCAGTCTTTTCATATTGTAGGTTGTGTTTTAATGTTTAGTGTTAGGCATGTCATGGTTTCGCCAAGTCTGATGCGATCCTGCATTAACATCTGTGTTGATCCTGGAACATCACTGTAGTTGGAAAATGTAATCCATACCTGTTCCCTACCCCATAACCCAACCATGACTGTAAATTATCCCAAAAATTAGAGAATAATAATAGTTGGATAACAATCATGTAGAAGCTTTTGAACCTAACCGTAAGCCTAAATTTATCATAAAGTGTAAAAGTATCCCTGAATTTTGATTGGCTAACTGGAATGTTGATCCAGGATCAACATAGATTTGAATCCAGGAACATGTCCTTCTTAGTGAAATCAGGTTGGTGTTATGGTAATTAAGTGGTGGCACGTGGATAAATGAGTGATGAAGGATTTTGGTGTCTGCATTAACTCAAATTTACAAAAGTGAATTTATACACATAGAAAGAATTTTTATGCAGTCAACATGTCAGTAAATGTTAACCATGAGTAAAGTAATGTTGCAAATAACAGGTAAAATAATATTCCGTCATTATTCAAGCTAATGTCAAATCAAACAGTTTACTCTAACCATATCAAAATAAATAAAAGAATAAATAATATATGAGATGTTTTGTTGTTTAGTTAAAGAGACAGTTCACCCAAAACTGAAAATGTCCTCGCTATTTATTCACAATTTAGTCATAAATCGGTTTCTTTTTTCTTTTGAACACAATAGAAGATATTTTACAAAATGTTGGAAACCTGTAACCATTCACTTGTATTTGTTTTTCTTCTATGGAAGTCAATGGTTACAGATTTCCAGTTTTTTTTTTCAGAACATTTTCTTTTGTGATTGACATAAAAAATAAAATAGTGAAATAGTGAGTAAATGTTAATGTTTTTGGGTGAACTATCCCTTTAAGACATGACTGTCTGACTGGCCTTTTTTTTTACTGTATACAAAAATTGGCCATCATTTAAATGGATAGTCCACCCAAAAATGAAAATTCTGTTATTATTCACTTACCCATTACTTCAAACCTTCAAGAGTTTTTTTTACCTTCTGTTAAACACAAAAGAATATATTTTAAAGAAAGCTAGAAAACTATAACCATAGACTTCCATACTGTTTGTTTTTATTAAAATGGAAGTCTATGGTTACTGGTTTTCATCATTCTTCAAAATATCTTCTTTTGTGTTTAACATAAGAAACTCCTAAAGGTTTGAAACCACTTGACTTAACACATAGTAAATAGTGAGTTAAAAAAGAAAATTCTGATAATATTCACTCAGCCTTTACTTGTTTCCAATCTTTAAGAGTTTTTATTAGTCTGTTGAATACAAAAGAAGATATTTTAAAAAAAAAAGTTGGAGACCTGTAACCATTGACTTCCATAGTATTTGTTTTTACCACTATGGAAGTCAATGGTTACCAGTTTTCAGCATTCTTCGAAATATATTTTGTGTTTAACATAAGAAACTCCTAAAGGTTTGAAGATTGAGATTTTACCTATGGTTTAACACAAAAGAAGATGTTTTGAAGCATGTTAGAAACCTCCAAACACTGAATTCCATTGCATTTGTTTTTACCACTATGGAAGTCAATGGTTACTGGTTTTCAGCATTGTTTGAAATATCTTACTTTGTGTTTAACATAACAAGAAACACCTAAAGGTTTGAAACCACTTAACAGAGAGTAAATAGTGAGTAAAAAAGAAAATTCACTCATTATTTACTCACCCTTTACTTTTTTCAAACCTTCAAGAATTTTATTTTCTTCTGTTGACCACAAAAAAGATATTTAGAAAAAAGTTGAAACCTTTGAGTTTTTATTATTCTCCTAAACACAAAAGAAGATATTTTGAAGACAGCTAGAAACCTGTAACCATTCACTTCCATAGTATTTGTTTTTCCTACTATATAAGTCAATGGTTACCGGTTTTCAGCATTCTTCAAAATGTCTCCTTTTATGTTAAACAGGTTTGACTAAATAATGAGTACATTTTTGGGTGAACTATCCCTTTAATTTGATCGTGAATGACATTTTATTTTTAGTATAGCACATTTTTTTGGCTGTGTTTCTATATTGTGACTGAAATGCGAGTTACCATTTGCTCCTCCTGAAGCTGTGGATGTGCTGCTTGACGCTGCAATGACAAAAACATAAATTCAGCATTAGAAAAAAGAAAACTCACACATCCAGATTTGACCTCCTGATGTTGGGCTTCGAACCCTATGTCTGTGTGCAGTATACTGTTGCGTTTTCTACACGGGGTCAGTCGGTGTTGCTTTTCTAAGGTGCGACTTGTGTGAAAGTTTTGCCCCTGACAGATCAGGTTCACACTTACAGACTTGGCCCGTTTGAGTGCCACCATTAAGTTTGTGACCTGGGAAACGAGAGCAAAAAGGTTTTGTCAAAAGATGTATTGGACTTCAGAAAGGCCTGAGAAGTGGCCATTGAGCTCTCAACAAATTCACCTTTCACCGTGAGAGGCTAATGCACACCGAAACACAACTTCGCGTTATCGAGTAGACTTTGCTTACCGTTTGGGGATTCGCCCACGACGCCGCTGCCAGGAGTTAAACCTTGGAGGAAAAACAGCACTTCAGATTAAACAAATCACTCTAGAATAACATCTACTCACAGCCATAGCAGAGTCGACTTTAAGAGTTATTAAAAGCAAAAGATGTATTAATATTTAACGCTGTATTGTGACTAGACATGAGGCTGATATTGTGGTACAGGATTTACATTTCATTTATAGTTGCATTCAAAATCAGCAAATAAAACAACCCAGGCTCATTGTGGAAACGTAGGCCCCGTGAAGGTTTCTGGAGACCGCGAAATACGTCCCGGGAGGTACGTATTTGTGCAGTTTTTGTTTTCGCGAATCCGCTAGAGGCCGTTGTGCCACACTTTTTCGCATCTCGAATGCCTCTCGGGAGCACAAGCCGTTCGAGCCCACGCTGTTCTTTCGTAAAAAGCAGAGCAACCGTCTGTCCGACTGACTGAATGACTGAACGATCGACTGGGCGGCCGGCCAATCGGCCAACCCGGCCGCCCTCCTCCTCCTTCCCTAAACCCAAGCGACGATTTACAAAAGCCGTCCAGAAAAGAAGCAAAAGCCGTCGTCCGATTTTGACCGAGTTTTCGGATTTCACTTCATTCTCACCCTGTCACGAACTTGTTCGCTTTTACTTTTTTGGATTCTGATTTTCATCTTACATGATTTCTGGAATTGCTCTTCCCCGGACTTGAACCAGGTCGTCGCCGTGGCCGGCTCCTCCTCCGCTCCGCAGACGTAACACTACGAGCTAAGCGGACAAACTAGTTGCGGCGGGAAAGTGGTCCACACGGAGGTGAGTGAGCCGTCGCAACTGGCGAGCACGAAGAAGAGGAACAGCGTTACACCGCCTCGTAGCGTTCACTCAAAAAAACTAAATGCCGCCATTCAAATATATATATATATATATATATATATATATATATATATATATATATATATATATATATATATATATATATATATATATTTCATTTTTGGATGAACTGTCTTTTTAAGACTTGTTTTAAATGATTGAAGATCTATTATTCACCTTATTCTTCGCCGACGAGTGGGCACAGCCATTTGAATCTTTTTGGCTCGAGGCTTCCGGTCTCATTCACTTCAACTGCTCGTTTTGCTGTTTGATGTTGCAAACTGATATTTTCTAATTATATTCTTCTACTTGGTCTGTATGGTGATGCAAACATTTGTTTGTAGAGCAATTAGTTTAACCGTTTTCTGCCGTTTATTATTCCTAGTCATTTCTCCCATAGGCGACTGAATCGGAAGTTCTAAGACAATCGCGAAAACAGGCGAACTTCCGCATTTTAGAATAAGGTCAATAGATCAGGTAACACTTTAAAATAATGGTCCATTCATGTTAGTTAATGTATTTACTATCATGAACAGTTAGTAATACAGTTATTATGTATTTTTTCAACTTTGTTACCATTAATGTTATTTCAGTTAAATAATGTCAGTTCATGCTAACCTATTTGTTCATTTTCTTGTCGGCTTAGGGTGCTTTCACACCTGTGAATCGATTCAGTTGTTCCGAAACAGAGATTACAAATGTTACATTGTTGCTCTTTGCTCTTGGAGCGGTTCACTTTCACACTGCAAAGTTTGTAATCGGACCAAAAGAGCTAAAACAAGTCACGTGCGAGTAAACTCTCCTCACATTGGTCAGAGTGTCAGGGTTTATTTTGCAGCGTCCCGCTAAGCTGTCAGGAGAGGTGGTTTGGTGGTGATTGACAGGGTGCGTGCGCGCGACGTGTCTGATGAGAGACGCGGTGGGGAGGGGTGAGAAGGGTGCGCGACGATGCCTATTTGAGGACCTGGAGGGAGACGCGAGATTACCGGGAGATCATCACTCGTTTGCGGGCATCCGGAGACTCGCGAAACTTCCCGCCCTACTCATAATTCTCTCTTCATATAGCCGTATGCCTATTACATATCCATAAAACACAGTGATACAACCGCGCTCGGATCGTATCGCTTTCTCACTACAATCGAACCGCTCCAGGGTTCGTTTCAATCGAGCCGAAACCACCTCATTCAAGCGATCTCGGAGTGATTACTTTGGCGCGGAACAGAGCGCGATTGCCCTGTTCACATATGCCAATCGAACCGCGCTAACTGGGCAAACGAGATACGTTCCGAAACAAAAGTGTAGGTGTGAAAGCACCCTTAGACCCTTTATTAATCCGGGGCCGCCACAGCGGAATAAACCAACAACTTATCCAAGATGTTTTATGCAGCGGATGCCCTTCCAGCTGCAACCCATGACTGGGAAACATTTATACACACACACACTCATACACTATGAACAATTTAGCTTTAGCGCATGTGTTTGGACTGTGGGGGAAACCGGAGCACCTAGATGAAACCCACACAAACACGGGGAGAACATGCAAACTCCATACAGAAATGCCAACTGACCAAGCCGAGACTCGAGCCAGCAACCTTCTTGCTGTGACGCAATCGTGCTACCCATTGCCCCACCGTGACACCCTCATGATAACTCACAACGCATTAACTAATGTTGACAAGCTCAAATTGCATTTATTTATACCACTATCATTATTATTTGTAATAATGCATTAGTTATACATAAACTATAATTAATACAGGCTTTACAAGATTATTCATACTTAGCGAATGTCAGTAAATACATTAACTAATGCACTATTATACTAAAGTGTTACCATGGACTACAATTAGAGCAGACTTTTTATAAAGGCTTTGCAAGAGCCTTTGTTTTCCATGCACCTGTTGTTTCGTCTTTCCACATTTATTAATAATCAAGCAATGCTGCTGATCTACCGTGGTGAAATCCCCACATACCTGATCCCTAAACCAGATTAAGCCCTGACTGACTTTGCTGCACCCAGTGAACTATTTCCCAGTCTTTTTTTCTCTCTCTAAAGAGGATTAGCTTCACCTTACCCAAGCCTTTGGGTGCTGTGGTGGCCTGCTGAGATCCGGCTCCTTCAGGGAAAAAGAGGGACAAGAAACATATTATAACACACACTCAGATCATTTCTATTCCGGCCAGGTGGAAGGACAAAATCTCTTTATATATGTGCTTAACGGTCTTTGCATAAACTGGTTATATATATATTTAAGGGTGATTTTATTGTTTTTTTTATGTGCATTTTAGATATCATTTTAGTTTGGAGTGACTTTACACTATTGATGTATTATAAGGGTAATGCATTAGCTAAGATAAATTAAGAGTGAACAGCACATTTGTTAAGAATTTGTTTAAAGAAATAAATAAAGCAAGAAAACTGTAATATTTTGGTCAAACATGAAAGAGGCATGTTTGAATCTTGATTTTGTCCTTGTTATTGTTTGTATTTTATTATAATTTCACTTTCTGCTAGGTGGATCACAGGATTTGTTGTATATAGTTCTAAATCTAAAAGGTCCAATGAATAATAAGGATGACTTCATTCAAATTCTGTGATCATTTACTTGCCCTTTACCCATTTCAAACCTATATGAGCTTCTTTTTTCTGTTAAACACAAAAGAAGATATTTTGAAAAATGTTGTAAACCTGTAACCATTTGTTTTTCTTATGTAAGTCAATGGTTACAGGTTTCTAACATTTTTCAAAATAACATATTTTGTTTTCAACAGAAGAAAAAAGCTCATAAAGGTTTGAAACGACTTGAGGGAGAGTAAAGGGGGTAAAGGACTTGAGGGTGAACTGGCCCTTTAAAACTGAAAATATATGACTTTATCTATGCCCTTTATATGACCTTTACTCGTTTTGAACCTTTATAAGTTTCTTGTTAAACACAAAGGAAGATACTTTGAAAAATGTTAGAAACCTGTAACCATTGACTTCTATAGTATTTGTTTTTCCTACAATGGAGGTCAATGGTTACAGGTTTCCAACATTTTTCAAAATAACTTATTTTGTTTTCAACATTAGAAAAAAAGCTCATAATGGTTTGGAAGCACTTGAGGGAATGTAAATACTGAGTAAATGTTCATTTTTGGGTGAACTGTCCCTTTAAAACTGAAAATATATAACTTTATACATGCCCTTTACTTGTTTCAAACCTTTAAGTTTCTTTTTTCTGTTAAACACAAAAGAAGATATTTTGAAAAATGTTAGAAACCTGTAACCATTGACTTCTGTAGTATTTATTTTTCCTACAATGGAAGTCAATGGTTACAGGTTTCCAACATTTTTCAAAATAACTTATTTTGTTTTCAACATTAGAAAAAAGCACATATTGGTTTAAAACCACTTGAGGGAATATAAATACTGAGTAAATGTTCATTTTTTAGTGAACTATCGCTTTTTAAAGGACTGAAAGTTCATTCATTGTATACTCTCCATTTACTTGTTTCAAACCTTTATGACTTTCTTTCTTCTGTTAAACACAAACTAACATATTTAAAAAAAAAAAAAAAAACGTAGGAAACCTGTAACCATTGACTTTCTTAGTAAGAATAACACATACTCCGGAAGTCAATGGATACAGATTTCTAACATTTTTCAAAACACCTTCTTTTTTGTTTAACAGAAGAAAGAAACTCATAAAGGTTTAATGAACACAAATAATGAACAAATGCTAGTAACACACTAGCGAATGTTGGAATAACGTACACTTTACAATAAAGTTCCTAATTTTTCTTAGCGAATGATTTGTTAATGATAAATCATGTCAGTAAAAATTTAACAAACATCAATAGCCGGCCTGTTTTGGAGTGTTAAAGTTGAAATCTTAGCTTCAACTTGAATGACATTCATGTTTGTGGACTCTTTACTAACAGGATTTATCTTCAAAAAATCATTTGTTAAGGGAATTAGGAAACTAATCGTAAAGTCCAACATTACTAACGTTTGTGTAAGTAAACAAACTTAAGCTGCTCATGTAAAGAAATGCATTAGAATATGAGTATGTTAAGATTAACGAAAATGATGTATTGCTTAACAGATGTGTTGTTCACTGTTCATTCATGTAAATAAATGCATTGACTAACATTAACTAACTCAACCTCATTGTAACCAGATTTTACATATCCACATTAACACTGCTTTATTATATTTAACGGTAAACATATGTTAAATGTTTAGTCCTTTTTGAATGTCTTTAAACCGTTTGGAGCAGATAAGATGACTTTATTCAGCAAGAATGAAGTAAAAACATGTTAAGAAAGCATTTTGGATTAAAATGCATCCCAATATACCATATTTATATTATATATACAAATGTTTCTGGATATTGCAATGATTTCTGAAGAGTCTTGTGAAACTTATGACTGATGCTAATAATTTACTTTGTTTTGCAGGAATAAATTATATATATTTAAATAGAAAACAATTCTTCTGAATGATAGTATTTTTGGTTAATAAAATGCAGCCTTAAAAATCTCTTATCTACCCCAAAATTCTTAATTACCTTAGAAAATGGTTTAAACAGATGGTAAAATAGACATTTTGAAATAATCCATGGTAATAAAATATAGTATAATGCAGAAACATATAATCCACTAATCTAAAAACCCATACTGATAATTGTTTACTCAAATTTACTTCAAATAATACCATGATTTTCTACAAATATATACAAAAACATTCATTGTATGCTGCTTTGATATATACTGACACTTTATGTTTATAAAAGCGTGGCGTTTAAAATAAATCAAACATTTATCTCATCATCATACTATACCAGGGGTGTCCAAACTTGTTTCTGGAGGGCTGGTGTCCTGCAAAGTGTAGTTCCAACCCCAATCAGACACACCTGGTCTAGCTAAGCACTTACTAGGCTTTCTAGAAACATCCTTGCAGGTGTGTTGAGGAAAGTTGGAGCTAAAATCTGCAGCACACCATCCCTCCAGGACCGAGTTTGGACACCCCTGTACTATACAATAATACCATGGCCCTTTTCTGAAAGTGTAATTTCTGCTATAATTAGGATAAAGCCTCTAAATATTTAGAATAGCTCAAGCTTATTGAGAAGCCAGTTAAAGTTTAAAGCAATTTATGAGTGATTATGTGATTATTAATGATGACTGAGGTTGTGAACCTGTCACCCACCCTTCATATGCTGACCTTTGGAGTCATCATCATCTGTAAAGAAAAGGGAAAATCGATAGAGTTTATAACAACCGCTCCTTTGTTTGGCTCTTCTCCTCCTCTTTCTGTCCCGAAAGCCTCAGATCTGCTGACTGTTATCAGAATAACAGTTTGCCTTTCACTCATCTGCTAGTTAAAAGGCTCTATCTGTGTTTTAGAAGGTTTGTTAAAAATGAGTTGATCAAGCAGAACAGATTTATAAAAAAGTTAAAAGAGATTAAGGGTGACTTTTATAATTGTTTATCATGAATGTTATTCTATTAAAGGGATAGTTCACTCAAAAATAAATATTTACTATCATTTACTCATTCGTCACTTGTTATTTGAGCTTCTAACTTCTGCTGAAGATATTTTAAAGAATGCTGGCACTGATTGACTTCCATAGTAGAAGGAAAAGTACTTTGGAAGTCAATTTGTTTCAGCACTTTTCAAAATATCTTCTTTTGTGTTCAACAGAAGATAGAAATATCATAAATGTTTGGAACAAGTGAAAGGAGAGTAAATGATGAGGAAAGGTTTTTTGGAGTGAACTATCCTTTTAAAGCGATAAAATATGTTTATATATGTTTTAAGGGGTAGTCAAAAACTTTAATTTGCTATCATTTATTTACTCTTCAGTTTTAGAATAAATATCTATTTGTGTTTCTGTCTTCTGTTGAACACAAAAGAAGATATTTTGAAAAATGCTGGCAACGATTGACTTCCATAGTATTTTTCTTCCTATTATGGAAGTCAATAAGTGCCAGCATTCTTCAAAATATCTTCTTTTGTGGTCAACGAAAGATAGAAATATTATAAATGTTTGGAACAAGTGAAGGGAAAGTTGAGGAATGAGGAAATTGCCATTTTGTGGTAAACTATCCTTTTAAAGGGGTAAAATCTGTTTATATATATGTTTTAAGGGGTAGTTCGTTAAAAAAATATTTATCAATTATTCACAGTTTTTTTTTTTTTTTGGAAAAAATTGATTTGAATTTCCATCTTCTATTGAACACAAAAGATATTTTTAAAAATGCTGGCACCAATTGACTTCCATAGTAATTTTATTCCTACTATGGAAGTCAATAAGTGCCAGCATATTTTTAAATTATCTTCTGTCCTCAAAAGAAGAAACACCGTAAATGTTTAAAATCACATGAAAAAGAATCAATGACAAGATCATTTTAATGTTCACTTGTTCAAAACTTATTTGGGTTTGTATCTTCTGCTGAACACAAAAGATATTTTGAAAAATGCTGGCACCAATTGACTTTCAGAGTATGTTTTTCCTACTATGGAAGTCAATAAGTGCCAGCATTCTCCAAAATATTTTCTTTTGTGTTCAACATGAGACAGAAACATCATAGAGGTTTAAAACCACATGAGAGAAAATAAATGACAATATAATTAAAACTTTTGGGTGAACTATTCCTTTAAAGGGATAATTTATATTTATATTTCTTTTAAAGTATAGTTTGTTCAAAAATTAAAACTTGCTATCATTTATTAACTCTTCACTTGTTCAAAACCTATTTGAGTTTCTGTTGAACACAAAAGAAGATATTTTGAAAAATGCTGGCACAAATTGACTTGCACAGTAATTTCTTTCCTACTTTGGAAGTCAATAAGTGCCAGCATTCTTCAAAATATCTTCTTTTGTGTTCAACATGAGACAGAAACATCATAAATGTTTAAAACCACATGAGAGAGAATAAACGACAAGATCATTTTCATTTTTGAGTGAACTATTCCTTTAAGTTCTGGACTTCTTGATGCGGTTTCATGTAAAAGATCTTCATCTCCTACCCTCTTCCTCCTCAGACAGCTCTTCTTCACCCTCTTCAGCCTCAAAGTCATTTTCCTCGGGCTCCTTATCTGAAAGAACGCAAGATTTGATTTAGCTTTCAAAAAAAAACTTGCGGGCGCTGTATGTTAAACATAAGAGTGTGTCATTACATGCAGCCCCTCTGGGAGAAGAGCTCGTACCTTCAACAGGAGCCGCTGATACACTGGACACCAAAAACACAACTGCCACTGAAGCGATTACAAGATTTCTGTCAAAGCACAATGATAAGAGACTACAATGAGCAAACGGGAAGCGCAATTACACCTGAAAACAAAATACACAGCTGTTTTGGATGAATCGCAAGTTCAGCTTTGCATTCTTTTAGTATTATTTTAATAGGAAGTAAATTGTTATTATGTTAGAAGTAAATTATTGAATGTTTTTTTGCAAACACTAATTAATAACACATTTAAGTAGCATTGGAAATTGCTATATATATATATATATATATATATATATATATATATATATATATATATATTTTATTATTTAAATTATTGTTATATTTTTTATATTATTTCATTATTATTTTTTTATTATTTTATATTAATAATTAGAAACCACATCACTAAAAGACACTCCAAAAATTAAACTAAGCTCAAAAAATTATCTCTGCAACTACTTACATAAAATGAGCTGAAACAACACAATTTTTGAGGTTTTTTATGGGGACAACTTAATTGTTTATGTTCAATCCACTTCAATTTGTAAAAAATAAATAAATAAATAAAAACTAATAACATTAATTCCTTCAAGTTGTTCGAACACAAATCGATTCTGTGGAACCCAGCACTTTTTTACAGATGCAAAAATAAGCCAAATGCAGATTATTACAAACATATAAGCAGCTTATTAGATTATTACAAACAAATGCTGTGCTAAACACGGTTTAAAATAGGTAAAACTGCTAAAACGTGTGCTTGCCACATTAAAGTCAAGAGTTTGATTCTTCGGGAATGTATGACTTTATGCATATACATTTAAATAGCTTTGAATAAACAATAATAATTCCAATTCGATCACTTTAATATGCTTCCTGCTATAGTTATTGATTAATTAGCTATAAATCACTTATGATTATCTCAATTTCAGAGTAAAAATCCAGACTCACCATCATCAGGAATAAAACACAATCACTTTAAAACACATGCAAATTGAAAACACTCATTCTAGAATATTAAATACAAAAAATATTAATTTTAAAGCAAATAGGTGCAGCTGCGGTGAGCATAAAATTAGTATGTTTGAAAATACTTACACATATTACTGACCCCTATTTTTTATTTATGTTCCAAAATGTACTTTGATACCATGGTTGTGTCAGTAGACACTTTCATAAATAAATAAATAAATAAATAAATAATAATAATAATAATAATAATAATAATAATAATAGGGACATGAATTTGGTAATAAAATCAGTTGCGATAAATCAAGCATCACTCACCTTAACAGCATCTTTATGTTTCTGTGTGCGCAGCAGACATAAAGCAACCAGCAAACGTGCTTTTGACTTCCTTATGCTTGACTGGGCAGCAAAATTCATTTTATACCCTTGCAGCCCCCCATCTTGTTAAGGGGCAGGACTCAAACTACACCCACTCCAATCGAACCACAGACGAGAACTGACATCTTTGATCCATAGTTCATACTCAGATCTGCTATATACAATGCTAAAAATGAACGTTACGAATATTTTCACAACGTGTAATGAAAAGAAATTCAGTTAAACTCTTAATATATATATATATATATTATGAGTTTTCCCTGAATATATTTTTTATCTTTTTTGTTTTGTTAGGAAAATTTGTTTTAAATGATTCAAAATTCAGTTCTGTGGATGTTGAAGGCTCTACATGGAAGCATTTACGGCTATAAAAACCTTTATTTTTGAGTAACTGTGAAATGAAAATTGATCACGTCAAAGATTTGACATATTTACCATGTGAATGTATGTTCTTGTTTTCTTTTGTAATATTTTCTAAAAGTACATTTATACAAATGCTTTAATTTCTATTCCTTTTTTTACTTCTTTTTTTTTGTACAGTCAATATTTGTATATACACTGTAAAAAATGCAGGGTTCCACACAATTCATTCGTGTTATCCCAACACTAATTGATTAAGTTACCTTGACACTTTTAACAAATTTATGTGGATTGAACTTAAAAAAATTAAGTTGTCCCAATGAATTCTCAAGAATTGTGTTGTTTCAGCTTATATTAAATAAGTTGTTTGAACAAGAACAAAAATTACAATTTTTAATGAATTATATTTATATAATTTATATGAATCTATAAATTTTATAAATTTTAAATGTAGTACAAGTCATGTTTTTATTGTTACTTTATTTTCCACTGATGTCTTTCTTATGCTGTTATGTACTGTTTATATACACCCTGAGCTCCTGAAAACCACAACAATCAAAATTCACTGTACAAAATTACTATCCACACAATCGATTTGTGTTGGGACAACATGAATTAATTAAATTAACTAATTAGTTTCTACAAATTTAAATGAATTAAACATACAAAAATAAGTTGTCCCAAAAAAAACTCAAGAATTGTGTTGGTACAGATCATTTTAAATATGTAGTTTGAACAAACAGAAAATTTTATTTTTTTGAGAGTGAAATACATAAATATAACATAAAAATTTATCAATATTAAATGCAAAAAAACAAAAACAAAAGAACACTTTCTTACATATCCTGATTGTAACTCTCTATTGCAGAGGTCTCAAACTCAATTCCTGGAGGGCAGGAGCACTGTAGATTTTAGCTCCAACCACCTCCAAATCACACCTGCTTTATAGTCTCTAGCGGTAAAGTCTAGATCAGATACGCGACCGGCCGGAAGTGGGATATACACATTAATATAGCAGCATTTTTATGGCACTGTATAACCATAATGAATATTTTTACAGTACTGTGACGATTGGGCTTAGGGTTGGGGTGGGGGTAGGCATTAAAAAATACAATTTATTGGGTAATTTAATAGATAACTTAAATAATACTCTGTACAACTACTGTTTTTACCTTACAGTGACGATTGGGCTTAGGGTTGGGGTGGGGGTAGGCATTAAAAAATACAATTTATTGGGTAATTTAATAGATAACTTAAATAATACTCGGTACAACTACTGTTTTTACCTTACAGTGACGATTGGGCTTAGGGTTGGGGTGGGGGTAGGCATTAAAAAATACAATTTATTGGGTAATTTAATAGATAACTTAAATAATACTCGGTACAACTACTGTTTTTACCTTACTGTGAGGGTTGGGTTTAGGGTTCGGGTGGGGGTTGGCGTTAAAAAATACAATTTATTGGGTAATTTAATAGATAACTTAAAAAATACTTGGTACAACTACTGTTTTTACATTACTGTGAGGGTTGGGTTTAGGTTTGGGGTGGGAGTAGATGTTAATAAAATTCAAGAAATGGGAAATTTAATAAATAATTTAAATAATTCTCGGTAACCATATCTAATCTAGCTACAACCTTCTCTAGTAGTGTTGAACACCTTGATTAGTTGGATCAGCTATGTTTGATTAGGGTGATAGCAAAACTGTGCAGAGCTGCGGCCCTCCAGGAATCGAGTTTGAGACCCATGCTCTACTGTTGTCATTCAGCTCTTCTGTTTAATTACAAAACTTTAATTAAATCCCCATTGTCATAACAGAACCCTTATATGTTTCCATTCAAACCTTGCTCACCATTGTAGGACCCTTCAGTATGCTATCATTTGATATTTCTGTTCAGTCACAGAAACTTCTATTGTCATTTACGATTAGAAGCACTATTGTGTCATTTCAAACAATCTGTTCTATCATTTTATTTTTGTATTGTCATTTAACCCTTAAATGCCAACACAGGACCTTTATGCTGCATGATAAAACCATTTCACAGATTGCAAATAAATTAAAGTGTGTATTTATGTCATCTTTTAGCAGAGGTGTGTGTTCAGTAAGGCGGCTCAGCCAGTGGAGGGCACAGCAGCCTGCAGAACAGCAGACACAGGAACTCACGCAGGAAGCTTCAGCTTTTGTCATTATTGTGCTTCCTCCAAACTGAGAGAACACAAGGGAAGATATTTTGAAAAATGTTGGAAAGTTTAAAATCACTTTGAGGTTTTAAGATGGTTCTTCTGTGCTTATTTAAAAAGTTAACCATTGCAGAAAACTATTAGCACTGATTTATCAGCATTTATTTGATTTAATTTACAATGCAGTTCAAAAGTAATATTTTCAAGACAAATGTACAGCATAGAAAGCAATAACTTGAAAGATTTTGAATATTCTTTTGGTACAATACTAACTTATATAACTTATTCCTGTGATTAAGTTAGATAATATCACTTGATCTTTCAGAAATCATACTTGTATGCTTATTTTTAAATACCTATTCACGTAAATAATCATTAGGGTTTCCACATCAATACTCACAACGCACTCTTTTATGCTAATAACGGTAAATACAACGTCCATTTTGTATGTGATGGTAACTTAGCCTTAGCCTACAATTTAATTTCTGTATTTTCTTCAGTGTTATTATTTTTTTTGTGTCAAATATATAAATGTAACTAATATTGCTAGAATATTACTGTTATAACCCAAAACAAAGACAGTTCAAATGTAGCCTAACCATTATGTTAACACACAGATTGAACAGACATAAAATATCAATACATGGTATCAATCTATGGCAGATTATCCATAAATAAACCCTTGCTAAAATTACAAAAGCTTTAAATCTGAAGAAAACAATCTCTTACTTACATCGTTTCACTTCTTTGTCGTTTACGATGAATTCACGATATGAATTTACCCCAAACAAACACCGGTGAATAATCTAACGTCTCTAATTGGTTACTGGGTTTACAAACGCAACAGAAACGAGTGTGATTGGTTGAAAGGCTCAGCGCTACAAAAAAAAGTAAGATAAAAGATTATCTGATGCAACTGAATGTAACGTTGAAAAACGAAACTTTACATTCACTTTTACATGTTGCAGTTTCAACATGACAGCTGTAATTTTATATGTATTTTTTGTTGCCATGTTGCATTTTTTGCCAAAAGCTCCTGCTCCTCCAAACTCTGGGTTGTTTTAACCCAACACTAGGTCAAGTATGGGTAGTTGGGTAAAAAAAAATGTAATTTAAATAAAAAAAAAATTAACACATCAATGTTTTAAAACAACATTTTAAATTATTTTAGAGTGAATCATTAAAATGTACTGTACAAATGGTTTAAATGTGATGGGTTTTAATAATTCAATGGTATTTATGGTGGAATATTTTTTAATGTAAGCCTGGGTAAGCCAAGTAAATATGAATAGCTCATGTTAGATTAAATGAATTAGCATGGTCCATTGTTGTATACTGCCGTATCTGTATGTTAAGCTGCTGCTGTGCCAGAGCAGGATCTGAATAGCTGGCAGTGCCCAGGAAGATTGCATTCCTCTCAGCCGTGCCAGTTCACATCAAGCCTGATCTACAATGTAAGGAACACCAGCAGGCCTTGAAGCCCGGCTCCCGATAAACTCCTCAGAGGAGCTCAGTGGACGTGTGTCGCTGCAAAGCTAATGAGCTCCAGAGCTACACAAGCTTTCTTTGTTGTATTGTGAAAGGTGAGCTATGAGTGTGTGTATTTTGATTGATATGTGCTATTGTGTTACAGTGATCCTGTCTGTTTTAAAACTGAAACTCAGGTAGATAGATACATAAAGTAAAACATGTTAGCTTACATAACGGACTAGCTTTCAATTTGTCTAGTAAGCAGACTTTTTGTTTTGGGTAGCTAAAGCAAATTTTTCATTTTTCACAGCAACTTTTCATTTTTTCTAGCTATAGCTAACTTTTTATTTTGTCTAGCCAGCTAGCTTTTTGTTGTGTCTATCCTACTGAAAAAAACAGCTTAAACCAGCCTAGGCTGGTTGGCTGGTTTTAGCTGGTCTACCTGGCTGGTTTTAGAGGGGTTTTGGCCACTTCCAGGCAGGTTTCCAGTAGGCTTGCCAGCCATTTCCAGCCTGGTCTTAGCTGGTCAGGCTGGGAGATGACCAGCTAGAACCAGCTTGACCAGCCTAGCCAGGATGTGAGCCCAGCCAAAACCAGCTATGTCCAGCTTAAACCAAGCTGGTTTTAGCTGGATTTAGCTGGTCATTTTCAAGCCAGACCAGCTAAAACCAGGCTGGAAATGGCTGGAAACCAGCCTGGAAATGGCCAAAACCCCTCTAAAACCAGGCTGGTCAACTAGCTAAAACCAACCAACCAGCCTAGGCTGGTTTAAGCTGGATTTTTCAGCAGGGTAGCTATAGCTAACTTTTCATTTTGTCTAGCCAGCTAACTTTTCATTTTGTATAGCTATAGCTAACTTTTCATTTTGTCTAGCCAGCTAACTTTTCATTTTGTCTAGCCAGCTAACTTTTTATTTTGTATAGCTATAGCTAACTTTTCATTTTGTCTAGCCAGCTAACTTTTCATTTTGTATAGCTATAGCTAACTTTTCATTTTGTCTAGCCAGCTAACTTTTCATTTTGTA